GGTGTTACACTTGAACTGCACTGACTTAGCCAATCAAAATCGAGTAATTTTTTCATGTGTATTATTACCAAAGTAACGCGCAATTTTATTTAGAGATTTACTCTTGAGTAAGACCGCACAAATATACAAGTTTACTTTGCAGGTTACTTTTAACGATCACATGGGGATAGAACGTCAATCTATTTTTCCAAACATTTGTGCAAACCTCCAATAACATGCACAACTTTTGACCACGAAAACAACTCAGTTTGAAAGAAACTACTGCTTCCATGAATCATTTAGCCCTAGAATACTAAATAGCAAATTACATTTCTTCTTTCTACATTCACGCCGAAGAAGCAGGAGGGGCGCCCCATTGCTTCAACCCATCGAGCTAAAAAATTCTGGTTGTCACGTGATTGTCCGTCCGTCTGTACGTAGGTACGTACGTCCGCACGCGCTTCCATGTAAATCAAGGTATCCGCTGACCAGTATCACGTGACCAAATTGCGGGCTCATTTTAAGAGCTAAACGAGGTCTCGTTTTTTTATGTTGACCGCTGCCCAGGTAAAGGTTTTCGATCGGATCGCAGGTCTAAGCTGGGGTAACTTTTTGTAATCAGGAGTACAGCTTTTAGGCTTGGCTAAATCTATATATTAGCTGGGTTATTTTTGGCACATGACTTACCGGCAGCTCAAAACTCCACCTGATGATTCGCGAAAGTCTACAACTAAGGACGCAGGTCTCTAAAATTCAATGATATTTTCGGAATCAGTTGATGATATCGAGGCTTCTCTCCAAGATTGTCCTAAAAAATAATGTGTTTACTTTGGGTAAACGTTTACCGAGTTCCTAAGTGTAAACATCTGTACTTACAGGGGACTTGTCAGGACGACCGTAACCTTCCACTTTGTAGTGGTCCACAGAGGTGTTCCCGTCAACCTCAGCGCAGATTAAAGCATCGGTACCAGGCTGACGAGCAAAATATTAAACACAACAAGTTTTGCAGTCGACAAATATTGTATATTTTCACATCATTCGTGTCCAGGAGTGTAACTTATGTGGGTTCTGCCAAATCGTTAGGACTATTTGGAAAAATATTGAAATGGTGTTCTGTCATAGATTGCTATCATTCCACTCCAGCGGACAAGCCACTCTATGTTACAGTCACGAAGTAACCTGCGGAATGACGAGCCACAGGAAAGGTAAGCTTTTCTCGCATTACCAGTATATATCAAACCGAATACACTTTCTTACCATTTTATTCTTTTCGCTGTTAAAACCAATGGCCGCCCACTCTCCTGTAGTGCTGAGCTCAAATTCTACCTCGCCATCATCACTATCCTCATCCCCCACGGGTTTCATGGTCACGAGATACTGGCAGTCACCGCTGGACGTACAGCTCTCGGGCTCAAAGTAGCAACTTTTTGTTTTACCGCATCCATCTTTGTTTATCTGCAGCAATAACAATCAAAGATCAATAAGAACGAAAATCTCAGCACCTGTGTCACAGCCACATCCAATCTTGTCGATCTGTAATGTCATTAAGAATAAGTCATTTTGCGATGCAATCATCTTTGATCTTCTTCTTCTTCTTCTTCTTCTTCTT